TCCATCAGGTCAAAATGGTGCCAACTCATCTTCTTTATGGACATTAATTTCTATTTGATGATATATAAGGATACATAGGACACTTTTCTCCCATCAGGCCTCAGCTGTATCTTTGTGTGTATTGATGTGTGTACATTTAGAAATATTCTCTACACGTTGTCTCCATTGCCACCTCAAGGAAACGTATGAGTAAATCGCACATTGTGAACATCGCGCAAGCAGTATCATCAGCCTCAGCTGTACTTTTGTGTGTTTGAGTGTTAATTAGCAAATGTTAGCATGCTGCCACACTACAGTAAGATTGTGAACATGGAAACATGATACCTCCTGGAGCCATGCAGGTTGGTTTTATAAACTCACACATTGTTTGGTCTCTCTATGTAATCACCTTGATGGATGAGCATGAATACAATAATCTGACAGAATCTCAGTGACAGTGAGAGCATAATTACTCAGCTTCAAAGTAAATGTCCAAATTGATGCAAACTCTAAAGCAGGTGAGCTTCACTGTGAGCTGCCAATCACCTGTCGCTCCCCGTCACAGGCTGATTGGGTAGGGGAGAGAAAACAGGGTCTAAATGCCTTCAACTTCTTGTTTTTCTTTAAATCTACCTAGAATGACTTACCGACCCTTACTGCTTTATATATGGCCTGTAGTAGAAACAGTGCATGACTAATTTCACTTTTGTCATTGCATTTGTGGTTCGAGCCTGTGGACGAGTAATGAAAAGTCTGATTGCATAATTAAATACTGAATAGACAAAGAACTAACAGCCTACCTGCACGAAGAGAGAGCAGTGTGTGTGTGTGTGTTTACCTGAAGGGCAGCAGTTTGGGGTGAGTGTGTGTTTTCTCTAACACTCTTTTCACCAGCTGTTCATTTTCCTCAGGATACACTGAGCGCGTGCAGTAGACGACTGTCTGAACCTTTGGGACTGAGACAGAGAAAGAGTGAGAATACAATATACAAAGAACAATCCCTGTATGCTGGCATCTTATCAACAGATGGAATATAATACAATAAGAATGAAATACAGACGTTATAGCAGTGTGTTTATTGTGTATACATAAGAGTTCTCAGCTTTAACTCTATCTCTGTGTGTGAGTTCAATATATACTCACAGGAGAG